GAGGGAGGGAGGAGGTCTGAGTGGAAGAGAAGTACATATAAACAATCTCTATGACTGGTAATAACAGTTTTGAAGCCAAGAGTGCACAGTATGACACAGGACAAGGTATCACAAGGGACACAGCAAAAGGGCAGGCAAGAAGACTAGAAATAGATATAGCAAAATATTAACAGTGGCTTATGTCTTCATGGTGAAGTCACAAATGACTTTATTCATTCATTACTATTTCATTCATTTTTTTCTTGATCATTCATTACTATTCATTCTTTTTTTACTATTTCTTCTATTTATTGCACTTTCCAAGTTATCAATGATGAATATGTAAGTTCACAATAAGTAAAAATTTATTTTAAAAAGGAATCTAATGTCCAGAGTAGCCAAAACCAGATTTGGAGCTCTCTTAACAATCCTGGGTTTCACAGATCACACATACACATACAGACTATTAAGTCTCTATGCTCAAGCAATAATCTACCTAATATGTGATTATGGCTAAACTAAAGGTTACCAATTCCTTCTTTTCTTTCATTCCCCCTCTAATAGAGGTAGATGAGATATAGAGTCAAAATTATAAATCAAGGCTGCTCAACCAATGTTCTCCATCTCTACTGAAACTCACATACAAACACATATATGTGTGTGCATATACCCACATGCAAGCACACACACATACACACACACAAAAACACACACACACAAATACAAGAGGCAACTCATTTAAGCTGCCACCTGAGGATTTAAATCAGACACAGATACTATCCCCTTAATAGAACCTACTACCACTGCTTATAAATATGTTTTGAAAACTATTGAAGGGATTAGTGGGAAAGAAAGAAAATATTTATTTACATTCGACATTTACATCCAAACGAAATATATACATTACACTGTAAGTTGTTAGAAATGAGAGGCAGAGCAAAGCCTTCTTTTAAAACAAATAAAGCAGTTTAAGCTCTTATTTATACATTGCGGTTTCCATGCAAACCAACTTAAAAAATGAGATGATGTTAAAAAACAAACAAACAAACACCTGTGGGGCGTGGCTCAGCAGTTGAGCATCAACCTAGGATCCAGGCAATCAGGGTTTGATTCCCGATCAGGGCACAAGCCCAGGCTGCGGGCTCGATCCCCAGTCGGGGGCGTGCAGGAGGCAGCCGATCAATGACTCTCTCATCACTGATGTTTCTATCTTTCTCTCCCTCTCCTTTTCTCTCTCTGAAATCAATAAAGATATATTTTTTAAAAAAAAAGAGAGAGAGAGACAATGTAGAAGGCACCGTGTATGCCTTCCTTCCACCCCTCTGAACAATCTGAGTTGGAGACCTTTTCTCTCTCCGTCCAACTACAGCTCAGTATCACACACAGTCACTGTTTCGCCTCGCTCGCTCAGGTGAAAGTTGTCTTTCTGGTTTACCTCCTGCTGAAGGAAGAGCTTGTCTTCAGGATTCAGGAATCCTGGATTTTAATTTCTTACCCTCCCCAGAGGAGAAACCAAACCAAACCAACTATCTGATGCCCTAGGTGGTGTGGGTTTCAGTTGCCTCAGGTGTGAAACGGAAGAAAACTGCCTTTCTTTCCTGACCCAGATACTTTCTGGTCTTCCCTTCAGGGCACTGCCGCCTGGCACCCTCCACTGCACCTGTGTTCCAGGACACTCGCGGGGCATTTGTATCTGATGTTCTGACGGAGATGTGGACGGTAATTGGCGTGCTCCTTTCAAAGAAGAAGTCATATACCTCCAACTCCACCTGTAAATAAACAGTTGCATGTGAGCCATATATAGAGAATATAAAATAGCATTATTCTGGGGTGTACGCCACAGAAGGAGGCTAAACGGATTCGGGTTTCTGCTCTGGTTGATCTCATTTTTGACAACCTGATCTCACTTTTCCAGACTCTAGAACTTGTTCCTTAGTTTATCGGTATGTTTAAATTTTCTTCTCCATAAAAGAATTCTTAACCTGGAATAAGCCAACACTCTGAAAAAAAAAATGTCCCTGCATTTGCTCAGGAGACTATGTCAGCCCAGCATCAGACCAATCAAGCTTCTCTCAATGGTATAGGGTCTAAGGCAGTCCTCAACTGGGGGTGGTTTTGTACCCCCAGGGGACATTTGGAATGTCTGGAGACAATTATGGTCTCACATATACGTGTGCCTGTGGAGGGGACACTACTGGCATCTAGTGGATAGAGATCAGGGATGCTACTAACATCCTACCATGCACAGCCCAGTCCCCACGACGAAGAATTCTCTAGTCCAAACCATCACTGCTGCTGTTGTTAGGAGGCTGTAATCTAGAGGCACCTATCCCACTAGTCATACCTTTAAATATCCAGATTTTATTTGCTCATGAAATCCATAACTACTAAGTGGAGCTATATAAGTCTTGAGCCCTATTATGTGATATGTATGTATTTTACCAGGTGTTGACAAAGAAGGATGAGGTAGGATACAGAAACGGAAGGCACACTGCCTACTTTGGAAGGATGTGTGGTCCATTTGAGAGACTAAGAGCAATCATCAGTCAGTAACATATCAGCAAATACGGCTTAACAGAGGAAACAGCTTCTAGGGTGCCCAAGTAACAGACTAAAAATGAGACTATGCTGAGGTGGGAGAAGTACTTTTGCAGGTGTAATGTAAATATTAGGTTGAACCGCATGAAATTGCATGTTATGTAGTCACTAAGGAATTTTCTTCTCAAATATATGTAGTACCTAATAAAATGAGTTTGAAATTTCCCAAAGAGGCAAACTGACTGAAAGAGTAGACTGGCCTTGGCATTACAACTCAGAGAGGGTCAGCTGGCTTCCGGAGCTCTGGCCACAGCTCTGCCCTCAGCGGTCCCACCCCAGGTGGCTGAGTGAGCAAAGTTCTACAGAGACCCAGGGCTTCCCACTCACAATGTTGAAACAATGCATAATCTCCACTGAGATAACTGAGTTGCCTTCTAGCAAAAATATCACACATTTGAACAAGTTCTGTGTTGAGGCTCCGTTACACCGTGCCAGAAAATGCACATGGGAGGCAGCAAAGTCGAAGCGCTTTATTTGTGAGCTGCAGGTAAACCGGGCCAGCTAATGAGAAATCACTTCATAATATCAAAGGAAAGAGAGGTGAGGACAGGAAAGAAAGAAAAGCAACCACTTACTATTATGAAATGAAGAAAATCAAAGCGCAGGACGAAACACAGCACTTACAGTCTGAAGTCTTCCGTCTGCCCTTGAGACTAAATGCTGCAAATGCCTAAATTAGATGGAGGACAACTTTGCTAACCCCAGGGACACTCATTTCCCTTAATAAACCTGAACTCAAGTCTATATCGATCTGCTCATTTAAATTTCAACTTGCTGGTAGGTCTTTAAGTATGTGAAGGGTTATTATGTGCAAGTCTGTAACCAGCTGTTCTCTCCTCCCGTTGAAAGCAAAACAAGAGGGGAAAGGCTGAAGTGGCCACAAGGAAAGATTTAGATTAAACGGAAAGGGGACTTTCCTGATGGAAAGTGTTGGATGGTGAAATTAGTTATCTTATGAGACTATGGAATCATCTATCCTAAGTTGGTGTTATTAATCAAAATTAAGGAGCCCAGTAAAACACTTTTACAAACAAAAAAGAATAAAAAGATTTCATTAATAAAAAATTATAAATGAAACTCATCTCTAACATCAGTGGTCTATGTAATGCAGGAAGGCTGTTGGGGTCAACAGAGTTCTCAAACTGGTGAGTCCTGGGCCAAATGGGGACCTTAGAAATAAATATTTTGTAGCTGGCACAATATATTTTAACTTTTTAAAAATGTTTTCTATATTTAAAAATTGAAACATTTTTACAAAGAAATTATAGACTTCCAACTTTTCTTGACAACAAGAACTATAGCAACACTAGGCACGTCTGTACTTTCAGGGCACCAGCTCTTTCTTCAGGTCCCCACAGTGTCCCTTCCAGGAAGGTCTGCTTATTTGCATCACCAGCCTGGCTTCTCTGGGCATTTGAGTTTGCATCTTGATTGACAGTGATTGATTCTCTTCAGAGGCAGTGAATGTACAAACCAACCTGAAAGCTGACGAAAGTGGCTTCTTAAATAACATTGTGAACACCAAAGAGGCTAGCAGCTTTGTCTCCCTTCCTTCTTACCTCGTAATGTCTCCTCTCTGAATGGCTGCTGTTTGGTGGCTGGTAGGCAATCTGCAAGTCACTGAGATCTTTCCAGGTGAATGAGGAGACTGGCCTGGTGTGATCCCACAGGTGGGTCACAAAGCCCTGGAGCGGGGCCTTAGTGATGTTGAACACCAGCAAGGGCTTGGGGGTCTCATCTTCTTCACAGTCCAGAACTGATGGAGTCAAAGAGGTCAGGATGAACTGATCCACCTCCAGGGTAAACATGGCCATGAACGCCGCCCTGGGAGCCTGATTAGGAAAGCCAGCTCTGATGTAGACGGGCAACCACGCGCTCTCTGACTTTTGAAGGAGAAAGAAAATATGAAGGGGAAAACTATGTAAGAAAAGATGGAACACGCAGGGTTAATAGTGTGATGTTTAACATAACTCCACAGCCTGGAGGGTGTATCTGGCTGCACGGAAGAATCATGGGGGAGCTTTTAACACATTCTGATGCCTAGGCTCCCTCTCCAGAGGTTCTAATTCAATCGTTCTGAGGAGGTTAGCAGAAAACGTATTTTTAAAGCTGTCTGGTGACTTTAACACGCAGCCAGGGTTGAGGAATGGCACCCATTTTGGCATCATAAGGAACTGGGCTTTTATTCTATCTCCACCACTTATGATCTGTATGACTTTAGACAAGTTATTTAATACCCAAATCTCATTTCCTCCATCTGTAAAATGGGAATACTAGACCCCCAAGTACTGAGGATTGCACAAGACAGCAAAGGAAAGCATGTAGCAGTAGGTGGCACACACCGCTAGTCACCTCCGCACACCCCTGTCCCCCCCACCCACTTCCTGTCATGTAGCTTTAAAGCAGGCAGGGGCAGAATGAAGGAAAGTGTTCTTATCACTCGATACTCATGCAACTGAAAAGTGGTTACGTTTCCTAGTTTGTTAAAACCCCAGATCTCCAAGTGAGAAGCAGGTAACAGGAATTGCAAGAGACTGCTCTAGCTAGCAATGCACCCTCCTCAAATGAGAGAGCTGCGAGGAAGAGGCCCTCAGCGGGGGATCTCCAGGGAAACCCTGGACGTGCATCACAGGATCCTAGGGCACAACATGTGCTACAGGTGGGAAGAATCCTCACAGCAGGAAATGCTGGTTATCACAGGATTTGATGTTTTCCATTGTTGAAGGACCCAGGCTCGAGCATCAGAGTCACATTGGTTTAATACTGCTGAACACTGGTCATTGGACAATGACTTGTATTCAGTATATAACAGAATGTTAAAAATGGAATTTTTCTTGGCTCTGTCTCAATTGAAGTTCTAATAAGAGAGATATCAGATTTCAAAGTGAATGTGAGACAGATACTATGGGCAGAGTCCCTCTCCCCACTGTAAGAATATGAAAGGGTTGAGAGAGGTATGAGACAGAGAGTTTGTTAGAAAGGGGAGTTCTGTGTTGTGCTGAGTCACTCCCTTGACAACCAATGCTACACAAAGAGGAAGGGTAGAGCAATGCTACATCCCTTGTCTCAGGTATCAGAAGAGAAGTTTTCTTGAGACCAGCCTTCAAATGTGTTTTACAGGTGGAGCACACACAGGGCTGAAGCTGGGCTCACACCTGAGGAGCTAAGTGGCCAGAGGCAGGAGGATATTGGTAGCTGTGCTGGATCAGCCAATAGTCCTTGTGTGTGGTGGCAAAGAATACATGAATGCTCCCAGATATAAGCCCAGTGGGATAGAGAGTTGGTCTGGGGTCATCCTGGACCCTGACCTTTAGGGTGCATCCTTGAAAGGCCAAAGAACCCCAGCAGCAAGAAGCTGGAAGTGTAAGTCATACCCTTGGAGCTGTAGGAAAAATTACAAGTGACCACTCAGGCCAGAAATGCATCCTCCTGAGACAAGAGATCTACAGGTAAGAGGCCTCCACAATGGGGTGTCTTTTGAGGAAACATGAAATTGCCCCAGAGAAAAAGGAGCAGCTGGAAACATCTGCCAGACTCAGAGAGCATGAAATCATATTGCATAGTGCTTGATCCTATAAAAGACTTCTCTCTCCAACACTCCCCCAAACCACCAGCCCCACAGCCTGGAAGTGCAGAAACTTCTCTCTTCTAAAGAAAAGTGCAGCCTGGCCCAGTGTGGCTCAGCAGTTGAGCGTTGACCTAGAATCCAGGCGATCAGGGTTTGATTCCCGGTCAGGGTACATGCCTGGGTTGCGGGCTCCACCCCCAGTCGGGGGCGTGCAGGAGGCAGCCGATCAATGACTCTCATCATTGATGTTTCTATCTCTCTCTCCCTTTCCTTTCCTCTCTCTGAAATCAATAAAGATATATTTAAAAAAACAACAAAAAACGATGATCCAAAGTTATCATGTAAGAAAAAAAAGCAAAAGTGACCATGTCAATTTCAAAGAAAGATAAATCCACGGCAAGAAGCATTAAAAAAACAGTGTGGGCAGCAGCTGATATGATAATTTATACAAGACAAGGCTTCTTATTAGCATCATTATATTTAATATTATCCTGGCAAACCCAGTGGAGAAGAGACCAGAAATAGCAGGAATAATTACTGAAAAAGGAAAGATAAAATCATCATGATTAGTGAAAGATATAATTATGGTCTGTAAAAGCCCAAAGAATTGAAATGTTTCTTAGAATAATTGAACTCAAGAAAGAAGCCAGAGAGAAGAAAATTATACCAAAAAATAGCTCTCCTATTTATCATCTGTAACCGATGAGAAGATACAATAGAGGGAAAAGAGTCTATTTTCCCACAATAATTTTACAGGGACAAATTGCCCAAGACTGGACTTAACAAGTGTGCTCGGCTTACGTGACAAAAACTGCAAAATTAAAGAAACATAGCCAAGTAAGACTCCTCACTTCTGGATGAGAAGACTCAATATAGTAAATGTTCTAATGTTCCAATGTTTCCCAAAATAATTCGTAGTTTTAACTGAATCCTGATAAAAATACTTAGGGGCTTATTTTTAAAATAACATAAATTATTTGCTTATTTATCTGGAACTAAGAATAGGTGAGCATGAATACGAAAGTTTTGTAAAGAAGTGTTAAGGCAGAACTTGATTGTAAAATATTAAAGTGTATTTATTATAAACCAATCATTAAATTTAGAATAATACAGTGTCGACACAGCAATAAATAGGCAAATCGAAGGAACAGAGAGCTAGCCTTGAAAAAGTATACATAATGTCTTTCTGTGCAATAGAAGAATCATTGGAAATCAAGGAAAATGGCTTAATTGTTCAACAAATAGTGTTGAAATTTTTGGCTACTTGGAAAAAACTATTCCTGTGTTTCAAAATATAATACAATTTGTTGCAGGTGGATTAAAAAGGCAACTATAAACAAGAAAACCTTTAAAATTTTAGAAAAAAATATGGGTCAAGTCATTTAGTCACTTGATGAGGATAGACTTGTACAAGCATAAAAATAATAAAAAATACAAAATTTTAAATATAGCATAAATTCAATTCCATAAAACAAAACTAACTTTGGTGTACATGTCTCCCCACTATGTGTATGTGTATGTGAGGGGGGGTGTCTTAAAATGGTAGAAATACTGGTAGTTTTATTTCTTCTTATTGCTTTCTGTGTTTTTTAAAAATATTCTTTGCAGTGAGCATATTACTTTTATATTCATAAGAGAATCTGTTTTATGACATGCCAAATTGACTATGAAATAGGTTAATTCTAAATAAACAAAGAAGGTGACTTAAAGGGGTCAACTCCCAAAAAAACTGACCTGAAAATATAAACAAAGCCCTAACTCGGTATAGAAAGAAAAGAAGGAAAATCAATCATGGAGAAAAAAAAAAGGATCTATTTTTTTTTTTTAATGGAGCTAAGAAAGCATTCAAAGTAAAAGGAATTTCACATCAAAACAAACAGAAGACATCTACGAGTAGTTAGGAGACCTAGGGTTTAGTTTTGCCTCAGACATAAAACAGCCATGTATAGGCAAGGTATGCAATTTCTCCCGCCCTAATATAAAATAACGTGGGCTAACCCAGTTATTTCAAACCTGGTTGATGATCAGTTTTTTTACTGGGCAGCTTTTTAACTAACAAAATATGTGTAGTGCTTACTATGTGCCAGGCTTTGTGCCAAGTACTTTATAAGAATTATATCATTCAATTCTCTCAACTACTCTAAGAAGTAGGTACTATTATTCCCATTTTAAGAATAAAAAAATAAGGCATAAAGTTCAGAGTCACACAGCTAGTTAAACAGACATTAAACTGAGACAATATGAGCCCAGCGTCATGATCTTAACTATTAAATGTTAGACTCAAATCTATACTTTGAAAGCTTTCCAAGTACCCTACCTAATCAATTTTTTTATTGCTGACAATATTACAAATGTCCCCCCTTTCCCCCCTCTTGTCCCCCTCCAC